TATATATATATTACCTCAGCCTCAATTTATTATTATTTTGATCTGATTTTTTTTTAGCAATTGCAGCCTCAGTGTTCTTTCAACGTGTGTTCTTATATCAAAAAGTGTAGGCGCTTATTCTAGTTAGAATGTATTTTTCAGATTGACATTTTAGTAAGGAGTGTAATTACAGTGGGTAAAAAGTTCAATCGAATCGAACAATGTCTTAATACCACAGCTGAGTAAGCTGTTTAGTTGAATTGTTATTCTCACGTTGTCTGATGTTTCCCGAACGACTTCTGTGAAAAATCCTTACACTGACATTACAGACTGACTTTGTACAATTGGATTGAACAATATAATTGTTGTGTTATATCGTTCAACCAAGGACTTTGTATTCTTCAAGGCCATGGCCTAACTTTAATTTCAATGCAGTACCGACACGCTGTGCATTTGATGGTATTATTAACCTAAACTAGATTAAAACGAATCTCTATACCCTCGCGTTGGATTATTTAATTTGTTTTTTAATAGTATGCAATAGACTGGTACGGTACTCGAAATCAGCTAAACTTGCGGTACAACGGTATATATTTACCAAATTAGTTTTTTGCATTTAATTACTGTATTCTGTCAATCCTTGTTTTATTGAACACGGTATCTTATCCGTGGTGGATCCCAGAATTCAAAAAAGAGTAGAGTGGGACCAAGGAGGGACTCTGACAATGGTCTAGCCACCTCAGCCCCACATGGTTGGGACTGAGGTAAGAACATTTATAATTTGGCACTATAATTTTCTTCTCTCCATTTTTTGAAATAATTTTGAAAACTTTAAGGGGGCGGGGGCAGCTGGAACTACCATTGAATTCGCCACTGATAATTCTAATGAAAATAACCATCTTACGATGTTTGTTAGTGTCTGTCGGATAAATTCTCCACTTAATACCAGAGATCTGCTGATTTTATATTACCCCAAAAGGGTGTGGCACCTCACTATCAATCTGGATGGGGTGTTTTTCGCAGAAACTGTAGTCCCCGGATAATAGATTTAGGTCATAGAAGCTGATATTAAGCTAGGACTATTGGTATAACTGACCCAGTTAAATTTATAAAGGCTATACAGTATATTGTTTGGTCGGGCGTAGGGAAGAGCCGAGGCCCTGGCGGCCTAATTTATTATTTAACCTCGATTTAACCATGGAAGAAATCAAAAAATCCTCCATTATTTAAGCATGTTTAGAGAAATTTTCTCCATGGTTTAACCACCATAGAGTGATTATCTGATGTTCACATGTGAAAGTCAGAGGAATGTTAATTAGCGCTCCTCGTCTTTGGGATCCATCGCCTGCTGCGCTACATGTCTCGCGCACACGACCGGCGACTTCAGGATACTCTGTCAAATTGTTGTTGGTCTGTTTCCATTTTCCGATTGTCCAACTGGCTTCGTGAACTAATACGTGACGTAGGCTTAAATTTAGGTTACTCATTAACATTTTTCATGGGGTTTTTGGAGCACTACATCATGTTACGGTATACGTCGTCCTGTTGTTACAAATACACAATGTACAGTACCGTAAGCCTGTTCTTTGGAGAGGAACCAACGGAAGTCATTAGTCATATCAATGGTTCTGATCAGGTAGGACTGTACGTTATCTGTGTAATGAGGCCAAATTATAGTATTGTTAGACCTATGCTATCTCTGATTGATTGAACTTTAACCAGATTCGGAGCATTAAATTCAATACAAAAAGATATGATTATCAAAAAGAAAGACATAAAAAAAATGACATTCAAGATCAATTCAAGGCATTGCAAGGTACAAAGTACAAAGGGAAAAACATAATGAAATTAAAATTTAAAATGAGAATTTGAAAACCATATGAGACGATTGTTTGCTTTTGTGATTTTAGGAATAACAACCAATGCCGACACCCATTCGCTTATAATATAATGATTATATTATTTGTAACTAAAATACTTTACTTCATTTCCGACTCGCCGACCAGGGAGTGGTCAATCTCTATTCATGAGTTGTTGTCGTTGAGTCCGCAAAAAGAATGCTTTCAATTCCCAACTTGATCTGAGTGAGGATCAATTGTCGATCAACCAATCATTATAGCTAAGCAAGACTGGTTCAGTTTCAACGGTGTTTGGATATGGATGAGTAAATAAAATGGAACAATCGCCTGCATAATGGAGTTGATCAATAGATATTGCAATGTCATAATATTACACTAAGAAGAGGTACGGTATATCAAGAGTACTGATTTCTGGGTGTGTGCCTTGACGAATGATTCTAATCCTGCTCTAAGCACCTAATTTGGTTTCCCCTCCTTTTGGACGTTTTTTCGGTCGCGAAACGAGGGATAATGTATATCTTTTGACACTACAGCCAACCCTATTCAGGGACACCCTATTAAGCGGGCACTGTTTTTTTTTTTGTTTGTCCCGAAGATGTCCTTTTAATAGTGTCCTACTGTAGTAATTAGCCAAATGAAGTCAAATTCGAAGTTATAGTTTTCCTACAAATTTATGCCAGTCAAATTCCATGGTCAGTAGAAGTTCATCCATGTAAATTGACCATTAGTCGAGCACGGTCGATGAGATAAATATACATGTTTCAGTCAGTAGCGAATTATTTCTAAAGCCAGATTAAATCCGGGTAGTTGAGTTGGATATGCTTTTCGCCTCAGTGGTTTAATTGAATTCAATTGAAAAAAAAACCATATAAATATAAATATATATATATAAAACAAAGTGGAATGCGTGCAAAGATAATATAGAGCATGTGAACTGTTAGATGAGACAAAATGAAAGGCCGATTTTCTTGACGGAAGCATGTGGGCGTGTCCAGCGGTACGGGCCAATTCCTACTACCTGTATTAATTTAGGGCTCAGAAAGGCTTAGGCCCATTACAGTAATCGATTTTGAAGTCTTATATCTGGGAAAAGTACAATTTTCCCTTTTTTCCGACGAACTGTCTTCTTTTTTTCTCCCCGAGGTGGCAGCTCTGTTCCATGGGGTATCCCCTCCGGCCCACCTAGTGGCGCCACCACTGTTAGTCTTTATATTATACTATACCGTAGAGCCCTGGTTCTTAATAAATTTGTTTTAAACAAGGCCAAAATATTTTTTTGAGTTGACGGGCCAAAAATAATATATGAGTCATGAATCAACTCATTATGATGTTTTCAAATTATTTTTTTTTATTGCGCTACACAACAATATTAAGGTAGTGCAGCACAATACAGTAACTCTGTAACTTCAAGTAAAGATATAAATATTCTGTTTACATCATATCCTTGTCACAAGATAAAGAGAATGTTAAAACAATAGAAAATTGCATTCAATACATTTAACAAACGTTAGTAATACTACAAAAATAAAAAAATACCTGCATACAATCCGCATAATTTATGTAACAGTAAGTTAACATAATGTTAATATTGATAGTTAAACCATGGATCAATAAGTACTAAAAGTATTCCTCCATGGTTATAAACAAGTTTAATAACATTAATTTAATGAACTATATTTAATTAAATAGGCCTGTTATACTTCCAACAACCGTAAATAGGTTTAATAATCGTAGAAATCGCGCTGATACAGCCAAATATAGGTAGGCCTATAAATAGGACTAGGATAGGTGTGATATTCATAGACCAAAAGACAAAGTATGATAAAAAGAGATTTCATTTTTTCCCCTTTATTTCTTAATACGAATGCAAACTTTTTAAAATAAAGATTCTGTGGCTTTATCTGTATTTGATGCAACAAGAGTCAATAAGAAAATTGATTAGATAACGCCTTGTATTATCGGTACAAGAAAGGCTTAATTCATATAGCGAAAAAAAAAAAAATTAAAATATCAAATACAACCCCCCCCCCCCAAAAAAAACCCCTAAACATGTTCTGCCTTATATACAATATAATGAACTTACATAAACTGGTGCAAGTAAGTAAAACCACATCGATTTTCAGTCTATTCAATTAACAAGTCTTCCCAAGTTATTCCATAACTATACAATACTAATCTTTGGCGTTTGTTGACAGTCGTTGTTAAACATTTTGATCTCAAGCTTCTTGCATAACCAACGTGCAAATGTCATGTTTTATGCAATAAGAACCAGGTTCATCACACGCGCGACTGTTATACGATATTTAATTTATTATTATTATTAATATTTATTTGTAATTTCAGTTTTTACACGGGCCAGATTTATTGACTCCGCGGGCAAAATTTGGCCCCCGGGCCGCCTGTTAAGAACCAGGGACATAGAGCATAATATACTAAGAAGTCTTATTACTCTGTACTGAAAAACATTATTTTCTGACTGTCGCCCTCTACAGAAAACTTCAGGCTACGTCATCGTACGCATGGATGAGTTTCATGGTCAGCGTGGAAAAAGTAAACAATGGATGTGGAATTCTCCAAATCTTCCAAAATTATGGCATTGGAAGAACCCCAGTTTGCTAGTCATACCTTATTGGTCGACCTGAGTAAGGGGTTAGAAAACGTTCCAGTTAAAATCCCTGCTGATTTATATCATACAAGTGCTATGGATTTTGAGGTACGGACAGAAATCCTAGCTTTTAGCTAGGCTAGGCCTACCGCACTTCCTACACACCAGAGGTGGAACATTGGCCCTGAGAGACTACCTAGTTGTGTATCAAGTGATGAAGGCCACAGGCCTAGGCATTACACATGTCTTTTCATCAGTATTAAAGGCTTATTAACTATAATTGTCATTTCCCTTTGTAGATAATTAAAACGAAACTTGTGTTTGTGGTTTGCAAAATATCTAAAAGTTATATAAATAGAAGATTAAAAATTAATGTTAAAACTTGATGTTCAAATTTACTAGCTAGGGCACAGAAAAAATTATTAGATTTATCACTCTTAAAAAAAAATAATGAGGTCGGAACAATAGAATATTGCTTTTTTCATTGATGAGGGAGGGACTGTTTTTAGTTGCCAAAAATACTGTAAATATTGTATAAAAACTGGTTTAATTTTATTGTTTTAAAATAAAAAAAATGTATTCCCAGTCACCAACGAAATTGCATTGTTTTTTTTTTAAGCTGTTGAAATAAATAATGCGGCAAAGTTTTTTTTTTATTCCCTCATCAATATTTCCCAAATTTTTGACAAGGGCGGGAGTGATAATCTAAACATTTTTTCTATGTGCCCTTACATACTGTAAGTAATATAGTCTATATATATATATTTTTTAAATATAGTACACTGTTGAAAATGTAAGTGGACCAGGTTGCCAACAAGATCCTTCCGAATTGACCCTAGGTGGATGCGACTGTGGTGTGTTATCCTGTGGCCTGCACTGTTCATGTGTTCAGAATTTTGGACAGAATTTTGATGACGACAGTTGTCTTCTAGAAATAACTTTAAACTCTGCTTCTCTGTATGTAAAACCGACTTTTGAGTGCAATGGATCTTGTCGTTGCGGAGACATTTGCAAGAATCGTGTTGTTCAAAATGGTATCAATATACCACTTCTTGTTTTTAAGACAAAGAGTAAAGGTTTGGGTTTGAGGGCGCTGGAGACCATCCGGAAGGGGCAGTTCGTGTGCGAGTATGCAGGAGAAATCCTCGGCAGGTCCGAGGCTAAATTAAGAACTGATGCAAAATCCATTGAAGAAATGAATTATCTTCTGGTTCTGAAAGAGCATGCTGGAAAAGATATGACAGTAACATACATAGACCCAACAAACTTCGGCAATGTTGGACGGTTCATTAACCACTCGTGTAATCCAAATTTGGAAGTGATTCCGGTTCGAGTGAATAATGAGACACCAAGGGCTGCTCTGTTTGCCAGACGTGACATTGCTGTCGGAGAAGAACTTTGTTATAGTTATCATGGAGATTTAAAATTGACACAAGACATATCAACAAATTCAAAACCATGTTTTTGTGATAGTGACAAATGTAGAAAATATCTGCCCCATAATTTATTTGCATTTTGAAGATGTTTTAATTAAATATGAAAAAATTATATTTGTGTTATTACAAAAATATTTAATAAGATACTGTAGTTTGTCAAATTTAAATTATTCTAGTATTTTATATGAGATGTTATAAATTCTATAGATTATATATATTAAATATTATATTATCGATTATTTAGAATCTATAGATTATTAGATAGATTAAATAAAAAAAAAAGGTTTAATGACTGTCCAGTGGCGATCCAATTAATTGCATTCTATACAGGCATGTCTCATGGCTACATCAGCACACCACAGCCAATGACATAATGCTTGCAGACACTCATTAATTTTAAAACCAGGGGCCTTGGTCCATTTTAAAAGCTATTAGCAATATTAAATGTTTTTTTGGGGGGGGGGGGAAATGTTCTAAGTGCCCCTATTTTAGAACATATGTGTCTATTAGACTAAGAGACCGAAATGGAAAGATATTATTCTTTGATTTTATTGGCTTATACTGTAATAAGTAGGCCTATACTGTACGTTCATGTATACACAGAATTCATGTTACAAACTTGTGGGTAGTAACTTAGATTAAACAAACCCCTGTTCCAAGCCCTGTCCAGACTTGCAAATTTTATTTGACAAAAAAACATGCAAGATGCCTAAATATGGCCATGATGACATCATATCATGACCATATATAGGCACATCATGACTATATATGGGCATAAAACAGTTTTTTCAAATAAAATTTGATAGTCAAGACAAGACTTTATGCCACTAACTACAGCCAATCACAGATATAAATTGCTCATGATTTTTACTTTTTCAACAGGCATTGAAAAATAAGGGCTCTCTTTGGTCATGTGAACTTGTTTCAAATGCCACTGTGATTTTCAAAATATATGGTGCATATAAATGATTTTATTTATCAAAAAAATATATCCTTTGATTCATAAGTGTCTCATAAAAGTATACTACACTTACACTTGAAAAGCCTCTATTCATTATGATTTGAAAACAAAATGAATCTTATTGCACCTTAAATAGTAGTAGTCCCACATATAATTATTGCCTCTCAAATTTGGGATTTACTCATGGAATTAGTTTCCATGACAACATATGAAAAATGAGCTAGATAATATTAAGCAGTTCACACTGGCATCATAGCAGCATATGGGATTATTAAAATTAAGGAAAATGTTTGTACTAGCACTTTTGCATACCATAAGCAACAAAATTCCAAATAACATTTAAAAAAATTATTTCTCATTTAGCTATATTTAAGAAAGAATTAGCAATTAAAAATGTAAAATTTTAAAAAGGCATTTTTGCTTTTGATTCTAAACTAATGCAATTCAATCGACAACTGTGGCAAGACAAGTATTAAAGTGAGCTTTTAATTATAAAATAAAAAAAAAATTAATTAAATATAGCAATACTTTGAATAATACAGTATTATCTTAATCAACATATACATTTCTAATGCCATGATTTACCTACTAACATTGTGTTTTCCTGTAATATATCTTATATTAGCCCTTGGTGTATAATAAACTATATCAAACTATATAACTAGTTTTAATTAACATTTACCATTTTTTATTAACATTTTTTGTTCATAATCATTTAAATTATGTATCAACACTTTTTTGACAACTTAATTCCATTCATTAGTAGAACTTGCTACTTAGATTTATTTGTAAGCTGTAATAAATAAATAAATATGTTTGTTTAACCACATTAAGCTACGTGCATGGACTATCAATGATAGTCCAGTAATTCATACTGTTAAAAAAATCTGACGTACAAGGTGAAGAAAAATTTGGTGGAATATCAATTTAAAAACTTGCTAAAAAATTAATATAAAATATTATTAACATAACTTGCTTCAATAAGCCCAAAATTTGACCAGAAGAAATAAAATTCCAAGATGGTGTTATCCATAATAAAACAAATGGTTGGTGAAAGTGCCAAGTAAATTTTTTAGTAATTGGCCGGCAAGACAAAACTGGTTTGATCACAATCACAAAATAAAACTGTTTTTGTAAGAGATTGTAAATTCAATTTTTCCAGAAGTGTTTACCATTAAGGTGGTCTTATATTTGAGGTTAGGCTTATACTAGGTGTAAAAAAAAAAAAATTAGAGTGCAAAATGAAAGACTAAATGAAGGGAATGATGGAAGACAGTAGACGCTCAAAATCTTTTGATTATTGAGATGGCCGCTTCACTTCTGGTACACCTTCGGGTAATCTGTCAGCAACGCAGCGCATTCCAAGGTTGTAGGCTGAGCTATCTTCGGTGTTTTGGCTGCGGGCAGCACATCTATACCGATAGCAATAGGACTAGGAACAAAAAGCAAACAAAGAAATTGAGACAATCTTTATTGGCATAACACAAAAGTACAAATCACACAAAAAAAGATTAAAATAATCATAAAATATAAAGACAAATTTGTGTGATGTGCCCATATATGGGCATGATGATGTCATGGAGGAAACTTTAAGTTCTGTGTAGACTATCAACTTTTCCTTGACAAAAACTGTTGTATGCCTATATATAGTCATGATGAGCCTATATTATTATATGGTCATGATGTGACGTCATCATGACCATATTTAGGAATATCATATGTGTTTTTCAAATAAAATTTGATAGTCTGGACGTAACAGACATGGAAAGACATGATTTGTTTCATCAGACATTATCAAAGTTTGATCAAACATTCTTTATTATGAAGCCCTGACTATCAAATTTTATTTAACAAAAATATGTGACATGCCTATATATGGTCATGATGACATCACATCATGACCATATTTAGCTTCAGCTTTAGGGGGTGGGGTTATTTTCAGCCATGAGGAAAATCTGTCTTTTACAGGGTTTGAACCCAAAGTAAGGGTAAGATTTAGAGGGGGAATATTAAGGAGTCCTCTAAAATCATAAAATGACTGTAGGCCTTGTATAAACAATTACAGTAGTCTAAATTTAAGATACCCCAATGGGAAATGCTTAAAGCAAAGAAATTACACTCAAATAGTATAAAATCACCTCATATCACCTTATTTTGCGAGCACTAGCACCCCTCCCCCATTTTCAAGACACCCAGATACGCCACTGTCAGCTCATATACATTCGAAAACGTTGGTAATGTATCTTACCTTATGACACATAAATGAACCTCCTTTTTTAACTCGTTTGTCACCAGTTTCAGGACCAGTCTTAAAAAGAAAGTAAAGTTTGAAATTTGCAAGCTAGATTAATACTGTTTTAATATTCTTTTTCTGCAATCATAACTTAAATTTAAACTTCATCTCAATCGCACATATTTAAGACCATTATGTTCAAGTACAGCACACTTACAGGATTGTTGAGAAATTTTTTCAAATGATGAATGGTCCAACGATCTGATGTCCACTCCCACACATTTCCGACAGTATTATACAAACCAAATCCATTTGGTTTGTAATTATTTACCTATAAAATGAAGAAGACAAACTAAATTTAGAACCAACATAAATTCTCCATTTATAACCAGTGGCCCACATCCCGATATTTTGTTTGGAACTGATCTGCACTTGGTCTGTGCTGAATGATTGGATTGAATTAGTTGCAGTATGCATTACACTAAGGACTACAAACAAAAATTCAACAACCATCTCCTGTGGGCTCCTTCTGGTGGTGATTGGGTAGTATACTGGGAAAAAATGCTCTTTTCCAAAGAGTGTACTGTGTTGTTTAACGTTCACATGGGACCAACAGTTTAAATGAGATGATGGTCTAATTAATCCCCATGGGATGGCCAAGCCCGCCATCAAAACAACTCATAAACCCCTCCCCCCCAACAACAAAAAAAATAAAAATAAAAATACCTATTTTGGGTTAAATATATTTTAAAACATCTCAGAACAGTAAAAAAAATTCCCCAAGATTGGAAAATTTCTCTGGGTATTAGGGAGTACTCCCTTGAAATGCAACAGGGCTTCACACCTGGACCCCATAGGCCTCTACTAGTCAGAGAGCTTTATAGCCATCCTAAATACATATTATAGAGCAACTGCTGAGCCTACAGTAGCCTTTCTATGGCATTTTCAACATCAACTAATAATACAGTAACAACCCACACCATCAACATTGAGAATTTCAGTGCCATGAGGATATAATTTTCTTTATTTTCTGTACATTTCCACAAAAACCTGGTATAAATATTATGCAATATAAACACATATTAAGTTTAATTCAAATTGAACAAACTGTTTGTAAGGTACATTTTATTGTTATTTTTATTTGCAAATTGTATCTGAAATTGTTTAACTTACAGGACACGTGCCAATAAAGCCATCTTCACCTGTGTTGGTTGTTGGAAACTTCCCTTGCCAGATGTTCATTCTGTGTTTACTATTAGGAAGCATATTATTCCCCCATGGAAATAGCCTGGAAAAAAATTCGTAACTTTATCATCAATTTGAAGATTTTCATCATCAATTTGAAAATTTTCATCAGTGACATTCATAATTAAAAATGATCAACAATTATAATAAAATTGTTCTAATTTATAATACAACAAAATATATAATTTATCATGTTTTGCTATTAACAATGATTAAATTATAATAAACTTTTAAGTGTAATCTCTTTGTATGAAAAACAATTTATTTAATATTTACCTGTTTTCCAACCCCCCTCTAGTGGCATATTCCCACTCAGCTTCTGTTGGTAGTCTCTTTCCAGCCCATTTACAATACTCATTGGCATCGGCCCATGACATATGAACAACTGGATGATCCATCCTAATACATGGTAACAGGTTATAAAAGTAAATATATATGGGTCTTAATAAAAATAGCAAAATCTGCCTATACAAAGAATGGAGTATATAACATAATACATAAATATAATATGAATTGAGGTGAAGTAGTGAATTCTACTTCTGAGGTGTTGGATAATTGGGACTACCCCCTGACACGAAAATAGTCCATGTTGTATTTGCAAAGCGTCCAATAATATTAGCCATTTCGATCTGTCTTAAGCTTAGTTTCCGTACAATTGCTACAAGCTATCTCCAACAGGTTTCGGTGATGCTGATTAGTCGGTCGAAGTGAGCCTTCCCGATTACGTAAGGAATAGCTACGCAGCACAATTGCACTGAAAACATTGTGGCGACCCGTTTTTACAGTTTACGTATAGGCAATGGTGCGGTAGACGCAGGGAAGTAGTAAAAAGTACCGCACCTCTTACTAGATGAATTTGACCACTAAAATGCTGTTATTACCTAATTAACATTTATGAGGTATAACAATACATTATAAAGTATGTACAAAGTTATGTGATTAAGTATAGTAATACTAATACACTACTAATATACAGTTGAGTAATGTTCTCTTTTCAATTCCCATTAATATTTACTATGAAAGTGAAATAAATCCTGGTACCTTTTAGTTATATTTGAATCAGGGCCTTCTGGATGTCTCCAGTTCGCTCCTTTCACTGGTAACCACCATGGAGCAGCTGCAACCTATGTGCATTTAATAATAATAATAATAATAATAATAATAATAATAATAATAATAATCTATTACTGAAACTCTAAAATGCTACTATATCTAGATCAGAATATTCCTAATCATATTAAAAATTGAAAAAAAAAAGTAGTTAAATTTTGTTGCCTTGAAGTTTAATCTATAGTAAAAACAATCTAATCATAATAAAACATTATAAAACTTACAGCTTGTGTAATATCTTTCTTAACTTCCTCACTTATCACTGTTTCAACAACAAAGGAGTCTCCAAATTTTTCAGCCTATTTATGAAAACAAAACAAAACCATTTATAATTGAGCACAATTTCAGTGTGTAATTTAGGCTAACATGGCCAAAAAAATAAAAAACATAAATAAATAAAATTAATTAATTAATTTTACACTTTCATTAATTACACTAATGGAAATCAATGGGACATACTGAGCAAATATTAAATTGGCTCATAAATACACCATGAAAAATTAATTTTAAATATACATGAAAGGTCTTAAATATTTGCTGGTATACTGTATATAACAGCCAAATACAAGTAAAATATTCAGGCTTTTCAAAAAGACAAGGATATGGCCTCGCCTACAGTATATAGCCATGAACACACTGTACTGTACATCTAGGCCTTAATAAGGCGATCGTAGGCATATAATACGAACCACTTAGGGCTGTCCAGAGTGCAAACTTCAGCTGTCCTAAATACAGTGAATAATATTAACAGCTTGGAAAGTAAAGAAGAGATGGGCTGGATAAAGATTGATGGCAAAAGTACATCTTTCTCGAACAGTGGGTTGTTAGTTTTAGACACATGGTACAAGCATGGAGGAAAGGTACAACGATTGTCGATAGTAAATAAATCAAGCTCCCTAATTATAATAAGGTGTGTAAGGCAGGAATTCCTTTCACAACACAATGCTCTACAAAACTAAGTCGCATTATGAGGTTTAGTGATGAGAGGATTTGTTTTAATCATAAGGAAAATTCTATCACTTAATATGATTTGAACCCAAGACCATGGGATTCGAAGACTAAACACCTCAACCACCAAGCTACTTGCTTGAATGTTTGACCTTTGACAAAATTAATTTCCTGCAATTTCTTTTTAATTCAACCAATAAATATTCTTCTTTCATTTCTGTAAGCCTTCTTTGGAAAAGCATTTTTTCTTCCTTATTTTTATATTTTTTTAAATAAAAATTTACAAAGTAAAAATCATATACTACTAAACTTTCAGTTTAAATTTTGCTTTCCACACATATCATAGTATTTATATCATAGTATTTACATCATAGTATTTATCATAGTATTTATATCATAGCATTATCATAGTATTTATATCATAGTATTTACAGTATATCATAGTATTTATATCATAGTATTTATATCATAGTATTTACATCATAGTATTTATCATAGTATTTATATCATAGCATTATCATAGTATTTATATCATAGTATTTACAGTATATCATAGTATTTATATCATAGCATTTATATCATAGTATTTATATCATAGTATTCATCAGTAAATGGAAGCCAAAATGACAGTAAACTGAACAACTCTTTCTTAGTTCATTCGCACTTTGTTTCCATCTGTTCAAAAATGGATTTCCAAAACACCTTTACATTTTTTTTTTGCATATATAAACATATGTTTGTAGGTGTCACTGACGTGGCATGTTTTACAATCATTTGTTCAGTTTAATCTCCATTTAAAAAAATATAACAGTACTGTATATTTCACAAATTTATTTTTTAAACTTCTATTATAAAGGTACTGTAAGAATAGCATGAAATATAATATTTTGCTCAATCAATACATTTGTACCCATTTTGTTGAGGTAAAACTACTACTATAGCAATTTCCCTAACTTATCAAAAGGAAAATGTCTGTAATGAAAAAGATTATACTGCAGTGTTAGTAGTTACAGTGTTAGTAGCCATTTCTGATCATACAATTTAAAAGTTACTAGTCTAATGTTATAATAATTAATAACAATCCAACAAACTCTGAAACAAGTATACGAACAAGTGCCACACTGTAAAGTAAGGCCTGGGTTGGGAATATAACCTACGCGAAAAAAATTCGCCTAGAAATCCATCCACGCATTTTGAAAAATAAGGGCCGATTTCCGTGCAGATTTTTGCTTATGCGCACTTATTCTCCTAGTGACTTTTCATGCAAATTTAAGCTTGTTTTTGAGGTAAAATTTACAGTGTCAGTATGAAACAAGTGTTTATAAATGGGTAAACCTTCTTTATGTTTACAACGAGTAAAATACAATAGCACCTCATATAATAATAACTATTTTAGCTATATTTGTATAATGATGTAATGATAATGATCACATACATCTGTCTGGTAGCCAGTAGCCTCAACGAATCGCATAAATTCTGCATTACTTGTTTCATAAACATCGGCATAAAACGAATCAACGTTGACTCTCCTGGAAGGGCTCTCTCCATCAAGTGGTATGATAGGTTCATCAATACCCATTGTGAACATTCCCCCTTCTATATGCACCATTTCATTCCATAGTTTTGTATTCTCATTTGCTTCAGCTCTGTATTTCAGAGCAGGGTCTTCTTCTGTGCCGTGGTCATCATCCAGGCTCTTCGACGGCCCAGACGTTTCCTCACTTTCGCCCTCACCGTGATCGACGTCTGCTTCTCCGTTTCGATCAACCAACTTCTCGCGATTCAAAGAAGAGCATCCACAATCTTCTTCTTTTACTGTGTCCGCAGATTCGGTACTACTTGCTTGAATAATTGCATCTTCTTGTAAGGCAGATCGTACATTCACTAGTAAATAAAGTAGAAATATAGAGGCCAAGAAAACCCTATTTAACGTGGAGGCTGACATCTTGTTTCTGTACTTCTATATTCCTTGTAGGGGGCGCTGTTTAATGTTTTGAGAACTATATTTTCTTGGTTAATATCATCTACTAGAAAATTAGATTTGTTAAGAAATAGACGTATTTATTTGCATTAATACTAACTTAACACACAAATTGAGTTAATCAAAAGGTAGATTAACACTTACAACACATTTATATAAATGTGAAATTAAAATACAGTTTTATGTAAATTGATCCGCCGCATGTGGATGAGGATTGTGTTGTTATAAGGCCAATATGTACTTTTGTAATCGCACGAAACAAATGAAGCAACAGGAGACACACTGGGATGCATGACTAAATACAGATGTAAATCGTTTGGGGATTATAACGATTTTATTTGATTCCTGAGGTAAGGCCTGAATGCATGTTAACTAATTATACGTAACATAAATATATGCTATTTATTACAACTTTGTCATTTATACTGGAATAAACTGCAAGCTCGTAGTAAAGCGAAACTAGGTAAGCCTTGCAAGCTAGGCCTAGGATTTCCACGATTCATGTCAAATCTGAGCTAAAGCAGTGTGGACCCCGGAAGTGTACTCAACAAGTGAGCTGAAACCGCAAACCCCTGCTCTGCAATCAGGTCTACTTGATAATGTGCATATTGACAAAAGGGTGGAAATTAACAGTTAATATGCGAATTGCATCTTGACCAGTTTACAATATATGAATGATGAACGTTATTATCTTCTGATCATACACCAAAAGTAGGTATCTATTACCATGAGTGAATTATCAACAACAAGTAGCAGTTTCTTACATTTTGGAGATATTGTTTCATTATATGCAGAAGGAAGTGTCAATGGATTTATAAGTACACTTGGGTAAGTACTTTGTGCTGTTCTATAATTTGATAGAAAGTGCATATAGGCCATACTGTAAAGTTTATTAATTGGGCAGATGATACCTAAAAAACTAGCTCAAATTTACGCGGAAAAAGTCGCTAGGAAAATAGGTTCGCGGAATCGTATCTACTGCATAATACATTGATTTATATATTAAGGTCAAACCTTAAATTTCGGGAAAATCAGCGCAGAAATAAGCCCTTATTTTCCGAAATGCGTATTTCTAGGCCAAATTTTTGCGTGGAGGACATATTCCCCATGCAGGCCTTACTTTACAGTCTGGCATAGAGGCACTGTGCAATATGCGCTCTTTTTTTTCTATTATTATTATTGTTTGAAAGCAAAAGGAAACAGAGGAAGACCTCAACACACATGGATCAAACAAATAAGCAAAGACCTTAAACCAATTAATAAAAAGATCAATACTTTGACCAAAAAAACGATTGCAAAAGGCTGAACTAATGACTTGACCTTGCCTAAAAGCCAAAAGAATTATTATTATTATTATTATTATTATTATTATTATTATTATTATTATTATTATTATTATTATTATTATATTACTAAAACCCACTTTAATGGGAACTTTGACTCATTTTAAGATATCATCAAATTGCTTTGATTTTATATGACAATTTTATTTATTTTTTATTTTATTTCATTCACTTTCCAGGTAATGATACAGTATATCAAACATATAGGAATGAGGATACAATAGGATTTTTAATAAAAATATTTATGTAAAAATTAATTGTATACTTTTTCAATTCTTTTTTTGTCAATATTTAATATACCAAGTGATTCTCTTCCACTCAGCAGTTATGTTTTTCCCAAATTTCATATCCTTTTTTGCTTTGGTGTTTTCTTTTATTTAGTTTGGTTGATGACAGGTGCGTTGTTCAGCCAGATGCAGGTGACATCAGAAATCCTCCTAAGAAATTCAGAGGTGAGACCATTGTCATCCACATTGTCACTGCAATGCAACCATCATTTATGTCAATGACAATCATAAAATATATGACCCATATTAAGTATGACAGCTTAGTTGGCCAAACTGTTAGAAGTGAAATGCCAATAAAGGACCTATGACCCGAGAGGAGGGGTAGGAATGTGTTTTGAAGTTGTTCCATTACCTATTATGGAGGTGCAAAGATTTTGCCATTTTCTTAACTAAGGAGGGCGAGCGGATTGAAGGGGAGAGTGGAGGGGAGGAGTGAAAGTTGTACGGAGTCGAAGGAATGCAACATTCACCTCTATCGATCCGTCACTGCATTAATTTCCATTGCTGCTCTTGTGTTTTTATCTGGAGAGCTGAAATGCAATTTATTTAAAGCTAATTATCATAATTTTGGGTGATTAATATCATTATTTATCTTTATTAATCTGTCATCATCACTGATGTCATTAATTATTATTCATTATCATTGGATCGTCATTGTTCATCATCATTAATTTCAACATTGTTATCTATCACTGCCATCATTATGTATCTTCATTATTTAGCATCATCATTTCTAACATCATGTTCATTATTCATCATTATTAATTAATTACAATTCCTTCCATTATCACCATCAGTGAGATAATTGTCTTTTTAAAGATCTAATTACAGTAAATATTATTAAGATCTGTGACATTTTGCATCCAATCTTGACATCGTAGATTGTAAGTACATATTGTAATTGGATTGCTAACAAGAACATTGTATTACATGAAAAACCCTGAAGAATCTGTTCAAAGCTATGTACAGTATAGTCATCACAAATGTCAGCTTCATTATCATTATATTCAAACTCTCACAGTCATATTGTATAGTATACTGGTCACACAAACTCTGTTGACCTACGGATGACCGACACATTTCCATGGGGATGCCACATGATATGATAATCCGGAAAATGAACGATCATCTCAGTCTGTGATTGAAAATCAACAGCTTTGTGTCGTAAAGTTCACACACAGAGTAGGGACGGATTCATCGGCAGATCGTTGACCAACAAAGTTTGTGCCCGGCCTTAGATACAGATATGCTTATGATCCCATTGATAACATTATCAAGTAATGTATTTGGTTTGGTTTTATTCTAGATTGCCTTTTCAAAATATGGCCAATGAATCGTTATGCGGCTCAGAAACAATTCCGAAAAGCAGCCAAGCCTCACATAAACTCAGCATCCGATGCTGCACTATTGACTAAACTACAGGTATAGTCTACAATCTGTATTTATAATTATATGTATATTTTCTTAGTCTACGTACTCTTGACATTTTCTTCAGCTTCCTACTAGAGCATTCTATAATTTTGCGTCATTAGGCTTTCGGTGTATTATCCTCTTTTTATTCCTGGGTGGAAAAAAGTAATAAAAAAAAAAGAAGTATGATTTATACTACATCTGCAAACATTTTCATTGCAAACAATGCTATGTATTTGTTCTTAATTCTATAATTGCTGTTGCAACAAGCAGTGCAACAGTTGTTGCCATAAAGAATGTAACCATTAAATTTTACGATCTGCTAAGATTTCTGTTCTGACGTTTCTGCCAAAGTGTATTTTTAGCGTGTGTTTGATCAGGTGCGTGTATGGAAGTAAAATGCCAAGTATCAAATGGACTGAAGTAAAAAATGTAGTGTACTCTAAAGGTACCAGATACATTTACTTGAATCAATTAAAATTTTATTCCAACAATCAAACTACTGTACTATCTGTAGTTATTATAAGAATTTTAATTAAGTCATCAAATCTGATCATCACGAAGAGTTCATGTTTAAACAGTGGAAATGTCAATCTTCGATTCCAAGAGTACCAACAGCTATGCAATTTCAACTGTTAATGCAAATTGATATGTGAAAATCAATTCTTAAATTTATATAGACTTGAACCTTTAGGTGACATTCTTACAATGTTCATCTTGTGATTTGCAATTTGCTGTTAATAAGTTTTTGTGAAATGTTTACAAATTTTATTCTTGATTTTTCTTTTTTGAGTGTTATTTAGCTAATGTTATTCTTACTCTAATCCTAATTTTTTAAAAGCAATTTTTTTGCTATTCAACTTTTGCTTTAATGTTTATACAATTTTTTTTAGAATTTTGTATACAGTGTTATTAAATTTTGATTATGTAGTTTTTAAGATGATTGACAGTTTAGTGTTTCCGTATTTGTAAACAAAATGCTGGTATTTTGCTCTTTTTTAAGTACGTATTTAAACTTAATAACAATCATTGGACCTTAATCGGCATCAAACCACATTTTTGAAAATAACAAAAATCATTATAAGCCTTATTTTTTTTTTGTGATTGGCTACGACGAGCATGTAGCCATATTTTTGTCCCATAAAAACTTTATTCCCATATTATTAGAATTGTGTCACTGTCACAAAAAACTCATCTATGCTTTCTATGTTGGCAATTCACAGAAACTGTACAATTATTATACCAGATTGTTGAATGGATTGCTCTCCCAACCTCGAGGTCAGGGCTTCAATCCCTCGCTGTACATTTCGCTTGTGTCCTTGAGCAAGGCACTTTATCTGCATTGCTTCTCTCTACCCAGGAGTATAAATGGGTACCTGGTGGGGTTGCCTGCTCCTGCACTGATTACCAGCAGCAACACTTAAGCATGTGGACCCAATGACCAAGGAAAGCGCTTTGTATCTGCAGTCAGTACAAAGAAAAGGCGCTATATAAGTAAAATGATAATAGTAAATGATAATAATAAAATACAGGGGTAAGCTTTTTAAATTCCTGAATTGTTGGTGTTTGTTTATATCAGAGGAGAGACTTCATGCACTGACAATGTTTATTGGTATTTTTTAATTCATCTATTTGCCCATTATGTAGATTATTATTATTATTTATTTGGGCACACAACTCATGCGTGACCAAGGATTGTCAATAGCGAATAACATGTTTATCACTGTCCTGTAGGTGACAATTCCTTACACAAGACAAACATCCACACACGATGTTTTACACAAACTAAATCTAAATATAAGGCTTAGGGAGTGGAGTTATTTTGGTCGTGAGAAAAAAATCCTGCAGCGCAGACAGGAATTAAACCCAGGACCCTGGAATTGGAAGGCAATTAAGCATCTTAACCACCAAGCTATTCAACTCCACTCCATTAATAGAGTATGTTCCCAAAAATGTTGGTTTAGTATCTCATGTTAAATGTTAATTAACCCATTTAAAACCCAAATGATGAAAGTACAAAACAATCAGACTTCCCACATTTGAGTTAGCTGTAAATTGATTAATGTTTATTTGACAGCGAGACCTAGTTTACTGATTCGTTAATAATAAAATGCTTTGTCTTCCATTTAGGGAATTCCCTCACTCAATAATTGTGTTAGGTACAGGTAGATCAATAAAATCTCTGATATTCTGTCCTACATTGATGTCCAATGTCCGTACAAAAAATTAAAAGCAGTACTTTAGTTAAATGCTGATGGTGTGAAGAGGGAGGGGGTGGCTGTCCACCTAGAGCCTTGGTCAAGTTTCAAAATATTTCAGGTGGTTTTTTTCTGTCCAAAACTCCAATTCTTTGTAGTTGTTGAATAATTTGGAATGATTTAAATTTCATATTTTGTTTTTGGCCTGTAGAGATCAGGTTTGTTGTTACTGTGAGGGTTTCTTTTGTGCAAGTTGCAAGTTGAAAAATGCGAGTTGCGAGTTTGAGAGTTGGAAAATGCGAGTTGCGAGTTGGAAACTCGCATCTTTGTTACTGTACATTCAGTTTCCTGTTTAAATTGTTGTTATTGTCATAATTTGGGGTTTTTATGAAATGATCAGTACAAATTTGTGCAATTGGTTTATTTCCTAGTTTTCAGATTTTCTAAAATCTGTATCTTATTAGCTGTTCTTTTATTATTTCTTATAGTCACTGCTTCACTGCATGCATTAGAAAATACATTTAACCATCAAACATTGTTTCCTCTCGAGCTTGGCTGTAATATTAGATAAGTTTCCAGGACTTCATTTTTGTAGTACTTTGTTGTGTGAATATATATGTACAGAAACCATTTTTCTGAATCACATGACTATCACATAACATGTACAGAACAGAGATATTAGCATTTTAAATTCAACTTCCTTTCTGTAATTTGCTCAGGGCTGGATCAAAATGTGATTATTAATTGTTAATATAATAGCTATAAATTGCCATAATTTTTTATCAATTGTTTTAAATTTGAATTTACTTGAAGTTCTACTCAGAAATTTCTTATTGTCATAAGAGTTTTCAGTTTTGATTTTATCATTAGGAAGTTTCATTCATTAGGTATTAAACAGAATGTTTGTCTTTTTATTTCATTTTTTTTCATATCTTATATTCATTCAGCAGTAAACAATAGTAAAATACAACACACAAAGTATGTATCTTACAAATTATTAATACATTCGTTTGAACCTGATAATATTATTATCTGAAAATTTATGCTTATAGCAATTTTATGGAAACCATGCTAAATAATGACAGATTTAGATATTTGGAGGCCACTACGCATCATGGTTTGAAGGTTATATCCAAATGAGACTGTGAGACTGTGATTACGATGACAAGGAACAATTACCTGATTCTGTTGTATTGTCATTTAGGCCTACATACAGGACAACAATTGTGCAGAGAAATTGCTTTTAATGTCTACACCATGAAGCTTCTGAGAAACATGTCATTTACTGAGGACCTTGGAATATAGATCTGAGTCGAATTTTGACAACTCCCCCCCCCCCCAAAAAAAAAAAAAAAAAAATCATCTCAACATAGAATTTCTCATTTCAATAAAAATAACCTCCAATATGACATTGATGAATTTAAAGTTCATTTTTTGTTCTATTTACTATAAAAAATTACTAGAGTAAAAATCATTACAAAAAAAATGGACGGATGGCATTGTTTATTTTGACAGAAGTTGGGGACACATACTTCCAATCTTGTTGAAACCACTAAAAAAAATATTAGACTTATGGGAGGATTGTTATGAAACTGTATTAGCACCTAGCTGCTGATAATCGGGACAGGGGTAAAAGTTTATAAGCTAGAGGACTTAGTTTTCTTCATAATATTTGTGCAATGAGCTTAGTTGCAAATTTGTATGACGTATTTCAATGTTGCTGGTAAGGCATGTGATTGGAATAATTGAGACTAACCACCTTACTTTAGCGGCTCATAAGACAGTATGTGTTTGTGATAAAACTGGCTATAATCGACCAGTTAAGACTACAGTGACAGTTTATGACTGTTTAATAGCATTTTGTGGCAGATGTTTAATCACAATTTTCACTTAGGATTCACAAAAATTACAGTGTTACATTCCAAAAAAAGCATAAAAGAATTAAGCACCTGCAGCCAACGCAGTAAACCATATCATTATAAAAACAAACAACATTATCAAACAAGGCAAGCCCCCAAACAGGCTAATCAGCCTTTCCAGACCCCAATGACCATAGCTTACAGGATCAAAAAAGAAAAAAAGTCAATTTAAAAAAAAAAAAACACATTCTTTGGCCATAACAGCTCAGAAATGAGTACAGTAATAACAAATTTTATAGCGTTCCCACAAAACTTAGCTCAGTTTCCTAGACCCAACATACATGTTGAAATACATACTGAGATGTCAATCAAAAGTAAAATCAAAGAAAAGTAAAATACAAAAATATTAATATTATAAAGACTAAAAAGTGATGTCATGACAATGTAGAACAGTTTTAAGTTTTTTGTTCATTATTTAAAATATTTTAATCCTGTCAGTTTTAGTCAGATTATAAAAGTATGAATATTAGGAGTTGTAAGTAATACTTGGAGTTTATAATTTTAATTTGGCCAATTTAAGTCTCTTAGTGCCTGTGAACTGGAATCATATCTGGAATTTCGAGTTATTGTTTTCGCTGCTCTATTTTGTAGTACTTGGAGTTTATAATTTTCAGGATAAGAACAAATAAGAACAAGTGTAATAGATATTGTCTTTAAATAGTTCATATCTAATGGAGTTCATCATCTTGAAGCCAATTAGTATTAAGTAACAGTATTTAATATGATAACGAGAAGATTTATTTTTGACTTAATGATTGAGCTACTTAATGAAATTATGACAAAAAGGAGATAGTGCAAGTAGAACTCGATTACATATTCACGATTTTAATGAACCATCAATCAATATTTTTGGATGATGACATCATTAATGTTTTTGGAAATTGTAAATGGTGAA